ATTGGTATGGTTTCCACAGACAGAACCCCATAATCTTGCGTCACTGTCTGGCCTGTGAGACAGTACAGACTCCAATCTCCTGTACCCTAAGACCCTGCCTGTTACGCTGCTGTTCATCAGAGAGTCTTTCCATGATATCCAATCCTCACCATTCTCAAAACCGACAGCTTCTTGTGGCCCTGGTGGCCTGGCCATGAAGACACTGATTCAGAGCCTGTCGTGTGGCCCCAGAGAGCACTGTGATCAACACACACACGGCACAGTTCCATTGCAGAGCAGTTCCATTGCAGTTCCATTGCCTTGCCTTCTGATGCAGAGTTCGCCAATACTGTCCCAGGTGTTGGATAGCAAAGCCTTGATTGTGAATGTTACTTTGTGTGGAGCTGTAGACGTATGCAGTTGACACGAGAAAAGTATTTTTTACCTGAAATTAATGGGTCTTTTATTGAAATTAAATTGTTAAAATATGAATTGTTCCCCTTTGAGCCTTAAGGCTCAGTTTTTTTTTTCTTTTCACTTGCTGAAACAAAGTGAAGTCAAGAATAAGAATTTGGCGAGGAGGTACATTTCACCTGATCCGTAAACTCTTCTTGCATCTTGCACTCTTAAGCGCGGCATTTTTTTGCTGTTTTTTTAATTACCTGGAGACTGAGACCCCCTTTTTTTTTACAGTTCCACTATATTTCATTTTATATGTGGATTCACTGATAACAGATTCTGTACAAGGATTTTAAATTAGGCATTCTTTCCATGGGTTTTCTGATTTTTTCCTAAAAGAGGATTTAAATATTTTATTGCTCTCATCAATGTGAATGAGCAAGATTATGTGATGGAAAAATATTTGTTTGCTTTAGCTAGGTCCGGAAATCTGGATTAGACTAGTCTTGGCATTTGCATTTTTTACCTTTAAAATAAACAGGTGTTACTGATTTAAAGTGTAACATAGAAGATTATATAAAATTTGACTGTGCCAGAAAGTCTGGAATTGTCTTCTGCTGAAAAAGGCTACAACTTATTCAGTGGTTGCGAGGGTAATCTCGACGTTCCTTGTGGCAGGAGTCAATGGTTTTAGTTCATTTTTTTAATGGTAAATCAGTAGATATCCAATTAAAGAAATGGGATGTGGTATTTTCCACGGTGGTCTGCGTCTAGTTCTTTCTCCTTCAACATTGCATTACAGCGTGAGCGTATCGGTCTAGATCAACAAGTTTACTTTCTGTTAAATACAGAGTCGGAAGGGTGAAAGGGGTTGTTTTCATTCCCCGAGCTTTTTTGTTTTTCTTGTCATTTAACTTAAATATTAAATCTGCGTCCATTCATCCCTTTCCAGTGATTGTCTCCTCTATAGAGGAGCACCGGCAGACAGACGGCAGGGTGCACACACACTGTCACATTCACTTACACACATACTGTACTCTACACACTCTGGGACATTGGTTAACTCACAACAGTTCACCTGGGCAGCATGTCTTTGGACTGTTGGAAGAAACTGATGCACCCGGAAAATGCCCTCATAAGCAAGGGAAGAACAACAGACATGTCACCCTGCAGCTCCCAGCTGGCAGCCCACTGGAGCTCAGCAGGTGTGAGCCTGGCCAGTGCGTGGATGGAGACTTGCTGGGAAAAACTAAGGCTGCTGCTGGAAGAGGTGTTAGTGGGGCCAGCAGGGGGCGCTCACCCTGCAGTCTGTGTGGGTCCTAATGCCCCAGTATAGTGACGGGGACACTATACTGTAAAAAGGTGCCGTCCTTCGGATAAGACGTAATACCGAGGTCCTGACTCTCTGTAATATTTAGAAATCCCAAAGAGTTTCTCGAAAACAGTAGAAGTTCCCCCGCCTATAAAAGTAATATAAAAAGGGCAATTATGATTTATTATTATTGTGATTAACATGCAAGACACCAGCCCTGACCTCACACCAATGTGCCCCTTAGCCTCGCAAAGACATTTAAATGATTGAGTATTTTTTTTGGCTTATTAAGGGAATGCTTTCTTATTTTTGATTAATAAAGAAAGGTTACTTTCTTCCTTGTTTAGAATAACTGTCGATTCTGTTTTATGAGTGGCAATAATATTTTCTAGAATGTACCTTGTGTGGATGCAGACGATTTAAGATTACTCCGAAGCATGCAAGATACGTACTGTATCTTTTCTGAGACGAGTGCCGCTTAGCTTTGTCATCTTGACTTTCTCCTTTGCAGGTTTATTGAACACGGAGAGTATAAGGGGAATTATTACGGAACAAGCCTGGATGCTATTCGATCAGTCTTGTCGAAAAACAAGGTCTGCCTGTTGGACGTCCAGCCTCACGTGAGTGGCAGGTTCTTTTATTTCTGGCCAGATCATATAAGCCATTAAATCATTTTGAAGGAAGGATTAATTTAATTGACTGCTGGGAAGGCTATAATCTGTGTTGATCTGGCAGCTCCATTTATCCCATCTCAAAGTGGGATCTTAAACTTTGGTTACAACCTTTTTTTTGTCCCCTGTTCTCCCGCATGTGAACAACTAAGATATACACACTATTTATTGTAAAATGTTTCCCTGGAAACCTTAACTATTTGCTTAATGACTATGTTACCAGACTTAGTTGTGAGCAAAAAGTTTTAGCAGCAATTACTGCTAATTTTCCTATTTTAAGAAAATTTCCTTTTTGGCATTTTTACATCTGGGTGGTTAGTTGAACGCCTTCTTAAAAGTGCCCCATATGTCATTTGTACTGATTTTGGACTCAGAAGCTAAAACAAGAATTACATCACTTTTCAGACCAGATTCTTTAGCATGTCTGGAGAGCACTGCTTGTTGTGTCTAGGCTGTAGATTTATAGATTTGTAACCAAATGCTGTCTGCTCCTTTACAGTTAGTACAATCCCTATAGAAATTAAAGCGATGATCACAAAGACGCATTGTGACTTGAATATCACAAAAGCTTATTAGCTGAATGATCTGGTGCATTTTAACGCACAGCAAGGCATTGTAAAAGAGAAGCATTATTTTTTTTGAGCAGTGGGTTCAATGGCCCTGTTTATACAACATGTTCGGATGTGGTCCGTTCTGAAAATAGTTTTATGTTGCAAAAATCCTCTGTGTGCTTCGTATTCTTCAGATAGCGTCTGGCTTGTCAGCTGTGTGTTCTATGTCAGTGCAGTGTGTGAGAAAAACAACACTGGGTAGAAAGGGTAGGGTTTCAGCACAGATTTTGAATGCTTTAAAGCAGCATTCAGAAGTGCTAAGGTGTGTTACCCCCTGGTGTTTTTGTCAAGATATCTGTTCAGTTTCATTTTTCTGTTTATTTTTTTGGGGGGGGGTCTACAGAATTAATTCCCCCTTGCCTACTAAATAACTTTGTGTCTTGAACGTTGCAGACAATCAAACATCTACGGACGTCGGAATTTAAACCTTATGTGATTTTCATCAAGCCTCCACCCATCGAGCGTTTACGGGAGACCCGACAAAATGCAAAGGTCATCTCCAGCAAAGACGAAAAGGCTTCAGCCAAATCGTTCACGGTAACCCTGAGACATTTCGTATACATCTCCGGGGGCGCAGGTGGGGGTGCTATGAGCCAGTAGTGCGGCAGACATGCCCCGTTTCAGTTTTGTTGCTCTTTTTATCTGCCTCTTTTTAACCTTCCTAAGTCTAGCCGTCAACGTCCTAGCAAATGAAATGGAAATGCGACTCTTACTTGAGTTTGTCATTAAAAGAAACATGAACGTTTTCTGGCCAATGCAGCCGGCTCAACACAATCTGAATCTGACCAAGCCGACCCCCAGCACTGTTCAGTCGCACCCAGCAACCACGCGACGGTGAAGTCACGTGCACAGCTTGCCGTCTAGCAGCTGATCGCGGCCACATAAAAACCACTTAGCGTTGGCTTCAGGCTTGTGCAGTGGGCTGATGGCTTTTGCAGTGGAGCGAGGCCGTCTGTGGGATCGCTCCTGTGTCTCTCTCGACTCCTCTGAAGCGAGCTCGGTGGGGTTTAATTGAGGGGGAATGGAAGGTCAGCGCAGGCTAGCCTGAAGATTCGCTCCTCGAGAGATTGCCTCTTCACTGGCCACGTGTTTAAGGGCCCCTTCTCTGTTAAATTATGTGTTGGGTGCCTTCAGAGTCATCATAGCTCCGCATCTGAAGCCCTGCTGTTGAACACCCACAAGTGATCTGCAGGTGTACATGGTGCTTATAAATTAATTCATGCTAGGAGCACTCTGATGCGGGGGTCACCAGAGCTCTTCTGTGAGCTATGATCTCTCTTGTATTTATACCTTAAATCCCGCCATCTGCTCTGTAGCCTTTGAACACCTCAGCTGCCCATTTAGCTGTTTAATGGAAGTATACGATGGAGTGTCCAGAAAAGCGCTATATAAGTGTAAGCAATTATTATTATTATTATTATTATTATTATTATTATTATTATTATTATTACAGATTCACAGAGTAACAATAAAGTTGCCACATTAGTTACGTCAGTTATAGCTCTTAAGCATGTTAACTCAATCAAGTGTGCTGAACAAATCACCAGAGGTTATATGGCCCTGCCGGGCCATAATTTATGTATGTATTATGTATGTATAATCATGTATTTTTTTTATGCTCATGACCATAAAATACATGATCAGGTACAACTTGATCTTACGGCAGTCTGAACAGCTCTCCTCATCTCTGCACGCACGGCATCTCACCTGACGGCTCTGTCAGCCTGTATTTCTGAGGGAGAAATTCTGCAGCAGTTTTGACATGGCAAAATGATCCTGTGTATACAGACACTGAAGCACACTAATGTTGAATACAACAGATTGGGTAGATTAGGTCTCCCTCCTAGACACTTTTTTTTTTACTTTTTATTTTTTATAAGTCAATTCTCATGTTCTTCAAAATGAGAAACTGATTGTTCCCTTAGCACAACACGTACTGTAGTTCCTTGACAACTTTTTAAGTCATCCCATTCATTTGCAAAAGCAATATTTAATCTTCTACTTATTACATACTGCAATCAAAAGCCTGGAATGTGTGAACAACCAATACAGTGCTCCCCTTATATCTTTTAAATGTCCTGTGCAATGTTGAGATCACTGTTTTGGAAAAAATGTGACTAAAGAGACATTTGCATAATTGTTTCAGTCTTCAGTTTCTCACACAATGTTGTATTACATATATTTAAAATAATTCAAAGCCACTGGCAGAATCTGGGGCATAATAAAGACCAGTCTCTTAATTCACTCATCATGTTTTGAGTTACTGTTAGATAAAAGTAACTGTAAAAGTTCTGAGCTGCAAAGTATGTATTACTGTGTAGAGTGAGGTAATGATATATAAAAAAAGTTGACGAGACATTTATTAGGCCAAATGCAACTATTTTAACAGCCATCTTTGTCAAGATAATGTCCGTCAGGACTGGAATGCTTTCTTCCTTCTCTGTAAGATCTGTACTTTAATACTGCTTGTCAATGTCATAGCATTGATGCAGAACAGCTTTTACACTTTTACTCAACCCAGTCTTATTTGGAACCAGATGACTGTGAGTTTATTTTAATTATGTTTGTAACACAGAGACATGCAGATGATGCCCATGAGTTATTCAGCCATCCACTTTAGATCTGTACAGTATTGAGCTCAACCTATATTAATTGAGGGGTCTCCATAGAAACACTCAAGCCACACTTCCATGATTTGTGAAATATGTATATCTTAGCAGAGTGTTACCAAGAGAACTGTTACGAAAAGTTTTCAACTCACAAACTTGAAGTAGCAAGAAATGTTTTCAAGGGTTTGCGTTACAAAAATAAGCGTGACTGACATTTCAGCAGGATGGGCTATTTTCCTTTTGTACAGTAATTGCTTTGATTTAAAAAAAAATCTGTACCTCATCCTGTTGTCTTGGTTAAAGTTTAATTTTAGCTATAGGAATAAGTAAGAGTAGGATGGAAACCACAGGACTGTGTAACTTTCTGGCTAGGGCTTTTTAAAAAAAAGTCTGGAAATTTAAGTTGTAACATAGTCTGTGTGTGCATATTTACGCGCGTGTATGTGTAATATGTGAGCTATCTGCATGACTGTATATATTCAGGGATCTGCTCTATGATGAAAGCAATTAAACCAAAGTTATTCGATTCTTTTGCAAATCGGTATGTTCCGGTGCTGTGTAGACAGCGGTCATTAAACAAAACATCTTATAAAAATAAAATCAGTAGCTGTAAGATCTAGGAGAAAGCATATAGGTTTACTTTCAGACTGGAAGAATAAGTAACTAAAATGATTTTTTTTTTAAGGGCAAAGTTAAAAAAATATAAAACATGAGAAACGGTTTAACCCATACCCTTGCGATATGGAAAAGGTGCTGCAAAAAAGCGTCTTCAGTAGAAGATATTCTAGTGTCAGAAGTGTAATTTTGTAGTTTAGCTCGACATTGTATTTCAATTGAATAATTTTAGGTCCTTTTGTTAAAAGCCCGTCCATAGTAATACGAACACAGGCTACTTTTTATTGGAACTTTTTATGTTCAAAAGAAAAATAGCCCATACAGGCTCCAGATTCTCAGAGGAAATCATGAAAATTCCTTGAGGTTTGGTTTGTGCATGGAAAAGGTTTTGGAAATGATCCATATGTGGGTGTGTGCACTCATGTGGGCTTTTCTTACAAGTGGTGTTTAATTTTGCTTAATTGTCCTGTCTTTTCTGTTATTTTTTGGTGGGATTTTGCAGGAGGAAGACTTTCAGGAAATGGTCAGCTCGGCCCAGGCAATGGAGAGCCAGTACAGCCATCTTTTTGAGAAGGTTATTGTGAACGATAATCTCGCAACCGCTTTCACTGAATTGAAGACCACACTGAAAAAGCTGGAGACGGACACTCATTGGGTTCCTGTGAGCTGGACACACTCCTGAAAACAAGGGGGCAGAACTTTGAAAAGCAGGTCCTGAAAAAACAGGCACCACTTCTCTTTCTGTAACATTTTTATACCGCTCACCAACATCCAAGTAAACGCTTTTCAAGCTTCCTTTTTACTAAGAAGGGTATGTCCGCCTCTTTACCCCAAATTCAGTTCATGACTCTTTTTAGAGACGTGCGTAACGTATCAATGTATTGTCGATTTAGCATTACTCACCAGTTTGACTGCCAGCCAGCAGTCTGCCAGTCTGGACTTGTCTTAGCATATTTGTAACCTTAGTTTCTAGTAACCAAAGGGATTTTTTGATTGTTTTTGGACGGACGGTTCGGGGTACAGTACATTATGCGTTTACCTCTCTCAAATTTTAATTGATAACGTCAGAATGTTGGCGCGTTTGTACAGCTGCGTACAAGAGAGCAGAAATTTAAGTTTATTTAAGACAAAAAAATTAATATATGCAATTTTCACCAGGTTTTCATATGCATCTCACCCCATCAATGTTCTAAATAATGCATATCTGTAGCTATTAAATCTAGAAATGAGAAAATCTTTTACTCCAGCTGACCATGGTCATCACTTTCTTGTTACCAAGTGCAGTACAGTACATGACCCCCATACTCATCTCTTACAACGCCATTTTGTTTCATGCTTTCCAAGTTGTAGTTCATTCAGAAGCTATGTTAAAACCTCCACCCTTCATATGAAGGTGCCCGATATAACAGCTTGCCTCTAAAAGCTGCCAGACTTTGGCTCTGTAATACAAGAAATGTTCTCAATCTTGTATAATTAGGGTGGAGTTTACTTGCTTTTATTCCCATAAAATGGGTCTAAAACAAGGAACTTAACAGAAGGTTCTAAACATTTCCAGATTTACTACTGAAGCAAATGTTAAATTGCTACTTCTGAGTTTACAGGGTTTGTGTAAAAAAAAATGTACGTGTTGTTCTTTACACAGGGGCTGTTCTTGAATTTGCTTTGCACTTGGGCTTGTGTCTTAATGTTTCTGTGGCACCTAGATGTGAAGAATTTTAGTGAGACATATTTATGAAAGGATACGGCAGGGAAAGTGTAAACTCTCAGCTGTGTGTTTTTTAGGGGTGTCTGTTTATCTAGATTTAAACTTTGGCTTTGTACAATCATGCTTAACATTCCATGTAAATATTGATCTTGCGTTGTGCAGGTAATGTCACCAGCAGTGCACTGTAACTGTATTTTAATAGTCCGTGTTATATAATGTTTTTAAGTGAGTGTTGTATATTAGGTAAATATTTAGCGCAAGCATTATAACTTTTTCAGTGCATTTAATTTGAAACACCAATTTACCAAAATCAAAACAGAACTCAATTTTGTGTCTTAATTAAATACTAAAAGGGATTGTCTGGTATCGCCATATTTTTAAGGTTCCTGTGTAAGCCATTGAAACATCTGTCTACTTTTTAAATGTTTTTTTTTTTTCAAAAAACACTTGTAATAATTTAACCTTTGTACTAATATGCTTTTTCTTAAGTGTGCATAACACAAATGTTATTCTCTTAATGTCCATCTTCTGTATGGAAGACAATTCTACAGTCTGTGAAAATGCGGAACCTCTTTTCATACTGTAGAGTAAATATTTCCCCGTATGTGTGTGATTATCTTTATTTAGTATTTCACATTGGTTTATTAAAACCTATTTCAATTGCACCAAAAAGCTACTAATTCTATTCTTACCTAATATATGTATGCATTCCTAGAGAGATAACTCGGTAATAAAATGTTGATTAGACAGTACAAATGTCAATATGATTCTGTTAGCTCTGGTCATTTCAGTGTAAAAATGAGATGATGTAAGTTGTGATCACTTGAAATGTGAGCTATTCTAAATAGAAAGTACGGTAAGATAATGATGATAATTCTTTTCACATATATAGCCACTCTTCTGCTATACTCAAAGAGCTTTACAGGTAATGGGGACTCCCCTCCACCACCTGTGCAGCCCCACCTGGATGATGCAATGGCAGCCATAGTGCACCAGTACACTCACCACACACCAGCTAACAATGGGGAGAACAGAGTGATGAAGCCAGTTCATAAATGGGGATTATTAGGAGGCCATGATTGGTAAGTGCCAGAGGGAAATTTGGCCAGGACACCCAAAATGTTTTTGAGAAATTTTGAGGATTTTTAATGACCAGTACTTCGGTTTAACATCACATCAGGAGGATGACACCTTTTCTATAGTATAGTGTCCCCAACATTAAGCATGAGAATCCATGCAGACCGCAAGGAGAGTGCTCCCCTACTGGCCCCACTAACATCTCTTCCAGCAGCAACCTAAGCTTTCCCAGGGGGTCTCCCATCCAAGTACTGGCCAGGCTCACTCCTGCTGAGCTTCAGTGGGCTGCCAGTGAGTTGTGAGTTGCAGGGTGCTATAGCTGCTGCCTATAAAATTGAGCATTAACATATCTGACCGAACTCGGAGAGAGTCTTACATAATACAGTATATTCATATGCTTGTAGTGGCAACACAAGGTTGAACCCAAGTTACCCCGTGCTTGATTAGAAATTAACAATAACATTGAATCACCAGCCTCTTCATTAGAAGTAAGCAGAGTGTACTTGTTCTTGATGTCGGCTTACAAGCACACTATAAAGGACCAGTAAAAACATGAGCACAACAGTCTTAGGCCCTGTGACTTGTTTATTTAAAGATTTATTGTGCACTGGGGATACAAAATGAAATTGGAACTCAAGGGACCAAAATCACAACTGTAGAATTTCCTCAGTTAAGTACTGTGAGCTCACTGCATCAGAAAAACAGAAATGTTGTGGAGTCTTTCAACCTGACTTTGTTCCCATGAACAGTAACCTGAAAGGTTTACCTGAGCGTGTACGAGTCAGAAACTGAATCTCCCTGAACTTTCAGTTTGCCTTCATTAAACTGTTGTCAGAGCAGTAGTTGGATGGCTAATTCAGATGTCACTGGACCTTCGAAACAATGGCATTAGGGATCTGGAGAAGCCTTGTGGAGCACTCCTGGGATGTGAAAGCTGCTTGATAGTGTTCCAAAACAAATTTAGAGAGAAACAGGTCACATAACCCCCAGATTTCCTTTTTCCACAAACTTTACTTTGATCTCCAGGGAGCTGGACCTTACCGGCATAAGGAAAATGTGGCTCTTGAAGGTCAGCAAAAGGTAAGAGCACTAGTAGAGGCCAACGGTATGGTTTCAAGTTAATGTTTCCAGCCCTCGACCTTTAATTAGAATTAGGATTGATAAGGGAGTAACATAGGACACCTTGGTCAGTGGTTGCTGTTTTGTCACGTTTAATATCAATTTCCGAAGAACAATTTAGCTCTCAGTATTAACGTCCAAAAGCTATCAAGCTAAGTGATCTGTGTTTAACACAGAACAATATCCTTCTGCAGTATCTTTAACTGAGAGAAACCTGAGCCTTGGGAAATTCCAGTAGGTGTCAGATACAAAACTTGGAATTAATGTGAATATTTATGTTCCTCAAAATCATTTCAGCTGTGTTTTGACTCCTCTGGGGGATGGTGTTAATCCTTTTATTGGCACTTTTCCATCTAGGATGAATGGATGCATAATGAGCCATGTCCTTTTAGGGACCGCTGAAGTGAAAGGCCCCGCTGCTTGCAAGTCAAATCACAATAGGTTTGTTTCCTGTATGATTTTCATCTATATAGATTTATCTTGCATTATGGGATTCTTTTTTCTGGGAAGGTTTTTAAAACCAAGTGTGAGGTGGATAAAGAATTTGGGATTTCAAGTCGAACGTATCATCCCCGTGAGGAAAATCCAGAGAAAAGGGAACAGTAGGCTTGCTGAGCGCACAAACACAGGGCACTTCCAGTCTTTCTTACAAAGCAGGAAAAGCCTGCCTCTCTCCTCTCTCCTCTCTCCGAGAGGTCCACCTCGGGGCGGTTAACATCCAGTTTAATGATGTGGTGCGGAACGCGACTATCTCCGTCCTTGATCGTAAATGACAAAAACAGTCATTGAAAAAAAGGCGGTCAAGGGAGAAAAAAAAAAACAAACCCTCACTCCACGTGCGGGTCGAAAAAGTTTTAATATCACTTCAAAAACTCAAAAAGCACTGTTGCATCAGCCTGCTTCAATGTTTCATACACAAGAAAACGAGGAAGACAGAAACATATGTTCCCAGATTAAATTTCTTTTAGAATGCCACAGACAATCATTTGCTGCTGGAAAGTAACGCCAGTGGCTTTGTTGAGGAAACTTTTTTTCTCCCTCACGAGCCAGAGCTCAATCAAAGGCATTACAGGCAATTTTTCTGAAGGAGGTTGCATACGGCAGCATGCATGTCAGCCCCAGACTCTGGGTAATCTGTGCACATTGCAGCTTGTATGGGTCTTTTTGAAAGATGAAAAGGGTTGTTAAAATAAATCCAAACCTAGGTCAATAAACCTCTGGTGTGCCTAAATTCCCAGACTGATTTAAGAAAAGCAAATCATCCTTTCCTTGCCCGTTCCTTGAAACAACACTATGGTGAGCTGCACAGTGCAGTGGTTTTCCCAGTAATGAATTGAATAAGATCTCCAGATTGAGAAATCAAAGGACCGTCTTTGTGGACCGTTAAGGATAACCAAGTTGAGCAATGTTCTTAAGTGTTTGTATTAGTTTAAGATGTGCATTGTTCCTCTTGGACTTTTTTTCCCTCACGCCAACAGGACTGCTGGTTTTTTATGGATGTTTACACACTCTGCGTTTTTGTCCTTTTTCGAGTTAGTTCATTTATCCTATTAAATCACTTCACGCTTAATAACGTAACACCCGGAAGACATACCATGATGCGGGTAAAAGGCAAAGAACAGATGTTGCTCCTTGGGCAATGCTGGGTGGAAGGGCTGTCATACAGACATCGTTCGGAGATTGTATTGTGTGGAATACAGTAGTTTCGGATACACTAAGGAAAACATTTTATGCCAGTTGAAGGGGTTTGTTTTGCTGGACACAATTTCACTGAACTGATCTGCCAGGGTCATGTTCAGATTTGGACACAAGAAGCCTCAGGCCTGTTAGTGAGAATGAAAGTAGCTGCTTTTTTGTGTTATATACTGCATGTGTACATTGTACTGTATATATAATATGTACTGTCTGATAAAGTTTCTAAACTTGCTTGTGGTATGGATCATAGGGTGTATTGATGTGAGTGCACACCTATACTGTATGGCTGAATAAACACCTGTTGTGTTTACCATTAGTCTGGAACATTAGTGTGCATTATTATGGAAAAGAGTTGCACAGGGACCACATACAGTAGGTGCTCATTCAGTCTGTGCTGTTACTGCCTTATTAACCATGTTATTTAGAAGTTGTTGGTGTTGACATGGTCACCTACCAAGCTCAACCCATCACTGCAGAGCTGGGTTCAGTTCTGGCCGACAGAAAGCCTGCGTCTGATGTGGATCCCAGGCAGATAAAGATAATCTTGAGGCAAACTTGTGAAATAGGGATGAACATTATACTGATGAGTTTTTGTTGATGTTCCTAGAAGGACTGACAAAGCCAACGTCTCAAAATGTGGTCAAAACAAACAGTCGATTCCTTAGTTAGGAGTTAGTCTCTTGCCATTACGATCTGCCACCAAAAAAAGTTGATTGCTTAAAAAGTTTTGATCAAGCCTTTTATTGGTCTCAAAGCGTACACAAATACTTTTTTTTTCCAGCCTTTAAGGAACAATTCGATTTTATTTCAAATATGATTTCCTAGGGATCGTTTCAAATTTACAAGACGTCTTTAATCAAATCCCGCAACTGCAGTATTTCTTAACCCATAAATATTTAGGGGATTTATATCACACTCAGAATGTTAAGAAAATAACTTGGCTATGTTTTTCTTTGGAGTGGGTATCCTTGACCACAAAGAATGTGTATATGATGTATGTATTGGTAAGGCTTTTTCCCGTCTCGAGCTAATTAACTTCACATTACCTCATGTCTATATGAGCAAAATCTTCAAGGCTTTTTACCTTGAGCTGCATTATTCAATTACAGCATTTAGAAACTGAAAAGAATGTGAAGGATTAAAGAGTCGTCATAATGCCTCTCACTTTTCACAAGATTAAGACAAAGCACGCTCACATGTGTGTGGCAGAGTGCGTAAGAAATGTGTGTTATACTACAGTATATGTACAGACACAACGGATATAACAGACATATCGGAGTTGTGTGAAGTTCAGGTAAAAGGTGCTCTGTAAAGAGAAATATTTTGACAACTCCAGAGTAAAACCAGTGTCCAGTGCTAGAGCTCTGAATACACTGACTTTGTAATGAGAATGAAAAGCTGTCCACCTGGATTTTCTTTAACCTTTATTCAGCACTCCCCAGAGGGTTGTTAGGCTCTGTGTTCTTTTTCTAATTCTACAGCGGGGAGCCTTAATGTTCAGTTGTTAAAATGCAGATTTGTCTGAGGGAAATATTACGTCCACTGTAAATATTACGTTTTCAACTTTCTGATACAGCACAGTTGTTTTGTGGAGCATCCCTCTCTTCTGTGTATACTGTACCTTTGCAGCGCTAGAGTTATCAGATCAGAGTTTCTGTGAGGGTATCTTATTTAGTTCAGGTTTTGGAAAAACTGCAAGATAATGAATCCATT